ATAGAGTCAATTTTGTCCCTATGTCATTTCAAATATACTGGCATAGAACTTCATAAATTTTATTTAAAGCTCTATTAAACTTGTAGTTATTGCTCTTCACATTTTTAATAACATTTGTGCCTTCTTTTTCCTTGATTCATCGGGTGTTTTTTTTCCTTGTCATCCGGGCTGGAGTACAGTGGCGTGATCTTGGCTCACTGCAACCTCTGCCTCCCGGGCTCAAGCCATTCTCCTGCCTCCGCCTCTAGACTGCTAGGACAATAAGCGTGTGCCACCACACCTGGCTTATTTTTCGCATTATTAGTAGAGATGCTGTTTCACCATATTGGCCAGGCTGGTCTCAAACTCTTGACCTCAGGTGATCCACCCTCCTCGGCCTCCCAAAGTGCTGGGATTACAGGCATGAGCCTCCATGCCCAGCCCTTGATTCATCTTTTTAGAGGCTCATCTTTTTATCAGTCTTTTCAAATACCAGATTTTGGATTTATTAAGCCTCTCTATTGTTTCTTTGTTTTCTATCATTAATTTCTACTTTTAGCATTATCATCTTCTTCTTTCTTTGGGATGCTTATGTTAAATACTTAGATCATTCACTTCAACCTCAATTTTTTGTTGTTGTTGTTTTCTGTTTTTGAAACGAAGTCTCACTCTGTCGCCCAGGCTGGAGTGCAGTGGTACGACCTCCGCTCACTGCAACCTCTTAGAAATACTTAAGTCTTCTTAGGAAAAAAGGCATGAATCTCTTTATCCTTGATAATACTTCTGTCTCAGTCTAATTTTTCTTAAAATTCACTTATGCCAGCTTTTAGCTTCTTGTGTTAGAATGTTTCAGATTCATTACTCATAAACCACAATACAATTATTTTTGCTGCCTTTAAATAAAAAATCTCATTCTGGAATCTGTTTTCTCTGGTGAGTTTAATCTGTTTACATTTATTTTGATACTGATAAAGCTGAAATTATTTCCAATGACCCTTATTTTGTTTTTACTATACTGTGTTTCTTCTTTGCTTTCCCTTTCAATTTTTAAAATTTTTATTATCTTTTTCAAAATGAGTCCTGCTGTGTCACCTGGGCAGTTGTGCAGTTGGCTCACTGCAACTCCCATCTCCTGGGTTCAAGCAATTCTTCTGCCTCAGACTCCCGAGTAGCTGGGATTACAGGTGCCCGCCACCATGCCCAGCTAATTTTTGTATTTTTAGTGGAGACAGGGTTTCACCATGTTGGCCAGGCTGGTCTCAAACTGACCTTAAAGTGATCCACCCACTTCGGCCTCCCAAAGTGCTGGGATTACAGGCATGAGCCACTGTGCCCAGCCTTTTTCTCTTTTTCCCCTTTTCCTACATTCTAGTGGACTGTTTTATCTACTGCCTTTCCTTCACTTATTCTAATGGTATGGAAGGTGCACTTTTTTATTTTTATTTTTTAAATGGAGACAGTCTTGCTGTGTTGCCCAAGCTGGCCTTGGGCTCCTGGGCTCAAGCAGTCCTCTCACCTTGATCTCCTGAGTGGTGGGACTATTGGCACATGCCACCACACCCAGCTTACTTTAATTAAATTTTTAATAGGATTACTTGTAAGTAGAATCAATATTATTACTCTCTTTTTGAAGAGCTGGACCTCAAAAAACTGTAACTCAGATTACCACCCCTCCTTACATGTTTTTTTTCCACAACAGTAGTTAATTCTCATATGTTATGCTGTTTTATACAATCAAGTTGTCCAGATTTGTCTACAGGTATAACAATTTCTGTGCTAACTTTGTGTCTTGCATCCATTTCTTCATTCTGGGTTCAACTTCCTCTTATAACATACAACTACCTCCAGTAAGGAATTCTTTCAGTAATGGTCTATGGGTGGTAAACTCTTCATTTCCAACTGAAAATATATTTCTTCACTTTAGAATGAGTTTTCAAAGTTATTTTATTTTTCCTTGGCACTTCAGTGGTATTATTCTATTGGGTTTTGGCTACTATTAATGCTTTTGGTAAGTCTGCTAAACTAACTGCTGTTCAGCTATAAATGGCTTTTCTCTCTCTGGCTGCTTTATTACTTTCTCTTTATATTCAATGTTCAGTAATTTCACCTGAATTATCTATTTATATTTTTTCTACTTATAAATACATTGTCTATTTCTAGGCACAACCAAAGAGAAGAATAAAAAATGATTTAAGAGTGACTACCATCTTAATTCTCCCATAGATTGTTCAGAACAAATATGTAATACCATGGATGCCCTGGAGCAGTTTTCAAACTGTAGCTTGCAACACAAACATTTGGGAATTGATTACAGTACAGACTTCTAGATTCCACACCCAATTTCTGAGTCACTAGGTCTGGGGTCTTGCCAGGAAACTGCATTTCTAATAGGTTCCCAGATGATGTTGATAATACAGATCAGGAAAGAGCTCATGCTTTAAGAACCACAGCTTTAGGGATTTATGATAATTATTTCATGAAACCTCCACAGGGAAGGACTATGGGACTTAACCTGCTTTTTAAACCTAGAGATTAGTATTTATCATCCATTCTAAACAATTTTTAGCTTTAAATATTGCTCAATCCCATTTCTTTTGTTTTGTTTTGTTTTGCTCTTTCCCATTTCTCCTTCTTTTCTTTCTCTTTCTTTCTTTCTTTTCTTTTCGTTCTTTTTTGAGACGGTGTATCGCTGTCACTCAGGCTAGAATGCAGTGGCATCATCTTGGCTCACTGCAATCTCTGCCTCCCAAGTTCAAGCCATTTTCATGCCTCAACCTCCCGAGTAGCTGAGACTACAGGCACATGCTACTATGCCTGACTAATTTTTTTGTATTTTACTATAGAGGGGTTCCCACTATATTGCCCCATGCCAGTCTCGAACTCCTAAGCTCAGGTAATCCACCACCTCGACTGCCCAAAGTGCTAGGATTACAGGCGTGAGCCACCGCACCCAGCCTCCCATTTCTCCTTGTAGAATACCAACTATATAAAACAATAATAGCTACCTCCTCTGTGAGGAGATAGAACTGTCCCAGTTCATTCTTCACCCAGGCGTCAGAGCAAAATAAAATCTGGTATCATTCCTCTACCCAAAATTGTTCACTGGCTTCTCTACACCTACAAGAGCAGTTGCTTTGGGGGAGGGATACATGAATGGGCTTCAGAGGATGCAAATATTTGAGTATTTACATTATGGTACACCTATTTTCTAGAATACTATCAAATAGGTCTAGTGACCTAAGCATATTAAAAACTGTTTACCTATTACATTCCCAATGAGTCAGTGTGCTACATAAATCTTTTCATAATCCATGCCCACCTTTCTCACATACACCCTGCCTTATGTCACTCTGAGCACATCACACTTTCAAACTTTCACCTTATGCCCCTATTACCTCCACCTAGAATGCCCAATAGATCTCTCAACGGCCTGACAAAGTTTTACTTGTATGCCTAAGAGCTCCAATATCACCTCCCCAGGAAACCTTCCCCAACCCACTTCAGAGTTAATTGCTACCTTTTCTATTATCCCTCAGCACTTTATACAAATATCCACTATTATTTTTCATCCTTCCAATTACTGGTCTACAGAAATGTCTTCCTCTAGAGTTATCTCAGGCAAAAACTTAATCATTACCTTTAAATCTCCATAACAGACACCCAAATGTTTGGTATACATATAAACACATTACCTACATGGTACCTAAATATAATTTTTCCTTAGACTCCATAAACAGTTTCTTCTTTTTTTTTTTGAGACGGAGTTTCGCTCTTGTTACCCAGGCTGGAGTGCAATGGCGTGATCTCGGCTCACTGCAACCTCCGCCTCCTGGGTTCAAGCAATTCTCCTGCCTCAGCCTCCCAAGTAGCTGGGATTACAGGTGCGTGCCACCATGCCCAGCTAATTTTTTGTATTTTGAGTAGAGATGGGGTTTCACCATGTTGACCAGGATGGTCTCGATCTGTTGACCTCGTGATCCACCCACCTCGGCCTCCCAAAGTGCTGGGATTACAGGCTTGAGCCACCGCGCCCAACCCATAAACAGTTTCTAAGAGAATATATATTTATATTTTAAGAATTTTCACGTCTGTAATCCCAGCACTTTGAGAAGCCGAGGTGGGTGGATCACCTAAGGTAGATAGTTCGAGACCAGCCTGGCCAATATGGTGAAAGCCTGTCTCTACTAAACATACAAAAAATTAGCCAGGTGTGATAGCGGGTGCCTATAATCCCAGCTACTCAGTAGCCTGAGGCAGGAGAATCATTTGAACCCAGGAAGCAGAGGTTGCACTGAGCCAAGATTGTGCCATTGCACTCAGCCTGGGCAACTAGAGCGAAAACCTCATCTCGAAAATAAATTAATTAAAAAGTTTTTTTAAAAAAGAATTTTCAGGTCTTCATCTAGATTTTCAAGCAAGCCTGAATCTTGAATCTGATTCAAGAACAGAATCAGATTCAAGATTCACATTGGTGTAAATGGCACCTAATGTAGTTCCATTCTCACATTTCTTCACAAAATGCCTCAAAGTGTCAAAGCAAAGAATTAACAGCTCTGTAATGTCAACAGAACCAAAAGAAAAACATTGGAGGGGTGATCAAATCTAGTTCAAAAATCTTAACAGAAGAAAATAAGTACTTCTATTCTAGTTGCTATAGAAGTCTGCCTTGTTTTAGGTTTATTGTCTTACTTAACACATGGATGTGCGTATTATAAATTATGAGAAGATTCCTCTCATTATTTGCTAAAATGCTCACCTGCTACAAAAAAATTTTTTTTATAAAAGTTTATACTACAACAAAGAGTTGTTCTCTCTAGGGGCAGAGGGCAGGAGTGAGGAGCCAAGGAAGTCTTTCACTATTTTTCAAATGTCTCTGTATTCTCTTTTTAAAAATTAATGTTTTATATTACTTTAACAACCAGAAAAACACAATGGAAAGGGGAAAAAGCCACATTCTATGTTATGCTACTTAAGAAAAAAGTTTGATTAATTATAAAACTACTTTAATATATTATTCTTACCAGATTTAAGACCTGAAATTTTGAAGATGGCACTTGGCTTCCCATTCGTGACAAATCCTAGGAGTTGCCATACTGGCATTCCATTTGAATCAGGATAAGAAAAGTAGACAGATCCGCCCATTCCCTCAGGAAAAGGGATTGTTCCCAGCATAAAAACCACAACATGGTTGATACTTTCATAATCAGGTAAGTCAAAGACAAATTTATCCTCTGCCACTTGCTGTGCAGCTGTTTGCACCTAGAAAAATAAGAAACTTGTCTTAGTTCAATAGTTTTATGAGTTTCTGTAACTCTTAACAGTATTGCTTATAAGCTATGTTACCAGCATAATCCATTATAGTCTTTTTACCAAATATGTTAACTTGATAGTCTTAATTATGAAACTGTCAAATATGCCAGAAAAGGTTAATTTTAATAGAGAAGAAAATACCTATTTGGTTTTACAATCATAATTTATTAAATGCAATCTTTTAAAAGTGTAACTCAAGCCGAGCACAGTAGCTCATGCCTGTAATCCCAGCACTTTGGGAGGCCGAGGTGGGCAGATGACCTGAAATCAGGAGTTCAAGACCAGTCTGGCCAACATGGCAAAACCCCGTCTCTACTGAAAATACAAAAATTAGCCAGTTGTGGTGGCTTAAGCCTGTATTCTACTCAGGAGGCTGAGGCAGGAGGGTCTCTTGAACCTCAAAGGCAGATGTTGCAATGAGTGGAAGCTGCACCACTGTACTCAAGCCTAGGCCACAAGAGTAAAATTCTGTCTCAAATAAAATAAAAATAAATTATTTCAGAAGTGTCCTGAACGGATTTTACTTACATAAAAAATAACTATAGCTTCATATTGTTGTAAAAATGAAAGGTTATTCAAAACACATCACCTAAGCTTTCACCCTCCAGTTTAAAGATAAAGGGGCCAGGCACAATGGCTCAAACCTGTAATCCAAGCACTTTTGAGAAGCTGAGGCAGGTGGATCACCTGAGGTCAGGAGTTCAAGACCAGCCTGGCCAAAATGATGAAACTCCATCTCTACTAAAAATGTAAAAATTAGCCAGGTGTGGTGGCACGTGCCTATAAACCCAGCTACTCAGGAGGCTGAGGCAGAGAACTGCTTGAACCTGGGTAGCAGAGGTTGCAGTGAGTCAAGATAGCATCACTGCACTCCGGCCTGGGCAAGAGTGAGACTCTGTCTCAAAAAAATAAATTAACTAAATAAATATATACATACATATATAAAAGAATCTCAGGTAATTAAAACAGGTAAGCAATCCAGAAGTAATTAAGTCAATCCTCCTTATTCACAAATCCTGTATCTGAATTCACCTACTCACTAAAACTAACTTATAATCCCAAATCAATGCTTGCTGCGTTTCGGCAGCCATTCATGGACATAGTCAGGAACAGCAGCAGAAAATGTGAATTGCAGTCCAGGCACAGTGGCTCATGCTTGTAATCCCAGCACTCTGGGAGGCAGAGCTCACCTGAGGTCAGGAGTTCAAGATCAGCCTGGCCAACATGGCAAAACACTGTCTCTACTAAAAATACAAAAATTAGCTGGGCATCAGGGCATGCGCCTCTAGTCCCAGCTACTCAGGAGGCTGAGGCATGAGGATCGGTTGAACCTGGAGGTGGAGTTTGCAATGAGCCAAGATCACGCCATTGTACTCCAGCCTGGACAACAGAGTGAGACTCTGTCTCAAAAAAAGAAAAAAAGAGTTGTGCAACTCACATACTGGCAGCTGAGGTGGAACATGCCATCTTGTTTCAGGCCTTATCATGTGAAAGTGTCCTTTTCACAGTGTCTATTTAAAGCATTTTTGTGATTTTTGCTGGTGATCGTGCTGCTTAAAATGACCAAGTGCTGCCTAGTCTTCCTAACTGCAAGAAGGCTATGACATGCCTTACAGAGAAAATATGTGTGTTAAACAAGTTTTCCTTCTAAAATATCCTTCTAACCACACAAAGAAACTTAAGAAAAATATACTGCTATGTAATTTTAACTGTCTATTAGTTATAAAGTAGTCTCAACTGTCTGCCCTAAATTAAGTCCCAAGATACAAAGCCTGAGTGTTCCTAAAGTCAAATACCGATTTCCTCTTCAGAAGTATTCTGACCCATTTTTAAATCCTCTAGCTTCAGTATAAAGAATAAAATGAAGAACATACACTAAATGGCCTGTATTAGTATTAAATTCAATTTCACCAGTCTTTGGCATGCATATAAACCAAAAAACATGGGAAACTGTTATTTACAAGTCTTGAAATAACCACCAGGCAAAATAAATATTTCTTAAGTGTCAACTCTGTATAGGTACTGAATGTTCTGCAAATGTGTATCATGACACTAATTTTTGATGTTAGGAAAAGATGTATCAGGCTGGACGTGGTGGCTCACACCTGCAATACCAGCACTGTGGGAGGCCGAGGTGGGTGGATCATGAGGTCAAGAGATCGAGACCATCCTGATCAACATAGTGAAACCCCGTCTCTACTCAAAATACAAAAAATTGGCTGGGCATGGTGGCGCGTGCCTGTAGTCCCCGCTACTTAGGAGGCTGAGGCAGGAGAACTGCCTGAACCCAGGAGGCAGAGGTTGCGGTGAGCAGAGATCACACCATTGCACTCCAGCCTGGGTAACAAGAGCAAAACTCCGCCGCAAAAAAAAAAAAAAAAGATGTATCTCTTTAAGAAAAAAATAAGTTTAAAGAGGCAGATTTTTCTTATAACAGAGTAATATATTTAAGTTTTGAGATGCCATTAAGTCTTTTTGCCCTTTGATTAACGGGTCCTAATACTCCATAATTAAAGGACCAAGTATCCCCAATATATACAGACAGGTATTTCCATAACTAAATTTCCTTTCAAATTAGTTGACAACATAAGAGATACATGGATTCCACATAGACTTTTTATTCTTTAAAAAACACAATTTTAATGTCATTCATTAATAACACTCACTGGTCTGAGTCACAATCATTCCAGGTTTGTCCTTTCTCCCTATTAAGACCAGGGGCAAAATTATCTCACCAGGATTATGGATTACCACCATCACCACAAGGGTCTCCCAGTTATCCAAGAGACAAACTTTCTGAGGCTAGTCATCTCCAATTTATCTTTGTGGCTTCTTAGAACTGTATATGTACAGAATACAACATATAATCAAAACTTGATGGGGAAAAAAGACAATTCAGCAAAGGGGCTGCAACATTTAACAAAGCCAGGAGAAAAAAAGAAGGAAAAATAATTCTAGGGGAAAGGAGTCAGGCCTGAAAATTGATGTCTGTGGTTTCTAAGGAAACAAACAAGATTCACCTTCCAGATTATTCCTAAACAATTCCAGGTGCTGATCTCATTTAATCTAACAATTTGGCAAGGTAGGTTATCTATTTTGACCAAAAAGGACACACACTACTGGCATCCTTCTCTGGTTATCTCAGATACGGCTCACATGTTAAGTTTCAGCCACTTTCCAATTAAAGCAAGCGTATTTTTTACTGGGGTTCTTCCAACGAGACCCAGCAGATATACGTTGCCTGAGCATTTTAATCTTTGAAAAACAGTTTGCTATAGACCAAATTCAATCCCAAGTTCACCTCTACCTCACGTTAATAAGGAAGGTATTGATACTGGCGATTGAGCTTAGTTCCGCAATTTCAAAATGTAAATACCAACTCATGAGTTACAAGGATTGAGTTCAAAGTGCCAAATAAGCGCCACACATAAGGCTCAATAACTGACCAAAGGCGTGCATTGCACTTAGCCCAGTATTTGGTATAAAATGCACACTTAATAAATACCAACTAATACTGGTGACTACCGTTCGAAAGAATCTGAACAGAATTGGGCAAAGGAGAGCATCCAGCTTCCCACGCTCCATCCTCACATACCCAACCAAAATACAGCAAGTGGGCTTCCCCGCACCCCTAGCGCCTGCGCACCCTCCCCGCAGCAGGGCTTTGCCCTCGGTATCCTGACCCCTTCCTGGTAACACCCGGTCCCATCCTCACCAGCCTCCCCGCCACCAAGCAGCCAAACATGGCGGCGGCGGCAGCTCCGTTCAGCCGGCAGTGACCTGAAGCCGGCGACAAGGAGTCCTGGGGCTACTGCCCTAGTCGAGACTAAGAGCCTTCCAGAATTTGCGAGAGGGTGTCTGCCCCTTCACTACATGGTGACTGGGCCAGCGGCAGGAACGCCTTCTGCCCCGGCAACCTCTGACCTTCTCTTCCTAAGCAGCGCGCCGCTCAGGCAATGAGTACTTCCGGGGTTTACCCTCGGTTTCCCCACTGATGAAGAAAGGCTGGTCGGCCCCAGTACAAGACTACAAGTCCCAGAGGGCCGTGCGCCGGTTTCCGGGAAGGGAAGCCCTGAGGCTTTGCAGGCAAGGATCGGTAGTCCGGGTGTTCTCTCTGAACGCAATCTGTGCAGATCCCTCATTTTCATGTACAATGGAAGAGATGCTTGTAACGTTTCTGTAACATCTGAGAGATTACCAGTGCGCTTTTACAATAATCACATCGTTAGATCTTTACAAAAACCCTATGAGGTAAGTATTTTAATCTAAACTTTATAGGCTCGTAGTGACCAGCCTCAAATCTTTACACAGCAGTAAATGTTGGAGGCTGAATTCAATTCCTAATCCAAATCCGGGTTTCTTTCTGCTACACAGTATTTCAGAAGTACTAATATTTAACCAATTGTTTTGTGCTTGTCTACTATTTATAGTTCTTTCCAGCTACACTTAGTTCTCCCACTCATTTGCTGTACAATTGTGGACAAGTTGTATGATATCTTCGTGCTTCAGTGTCCCTCCTTTGCAAAAGACAAATAATGTGCCTATCTCCTAGGGCTGCTGTGAGGATTAAATGAGTTAATATGTATAAAACACTTAGAATAGTGCCTGGCCATGCTTAATTGGTGGGAGTTTTATTGTAAATATGTCTATTTTTTTTACTATATACATTTGCAGAAAAGGTTTATAGGAAATACAAAACATCAAGTACTGATTGCCACCAACATTTATTCTCCCTTTCACAGCTCCAATTCCTTTTCTTCTTGAATAGGATGGTAAAGGGTCTCTGTCCAACTTGAAATATCTGAGGTCAGCCACGAGCCATAAAACAGGTCTGTCTTCCCAGTCCTCAGTTTATATATAGGGGATCAGAGTTTGGAACAGTTCTCTGGCCCCTACTGTGGATCCCTAAACTGATTGCGTATCTTATCACCAATACTCCCTTGAGATAGCTGAGCCAAAGATGAAGAGGTAGGAACGGATCTACCAGCGTTTCGAATTTGCTTCCTAAAAAGTCCTAGAACCTTCAGAATAAAAAGGCCATTCATATAAAGACAACTTCATAAATTAAGGCACCCACACTACCTGGATTCAGAGCCCATCTCTTCCATTTATTAGTTACATAATCTTAGGCAAGCTAACCTAACACTCCCATACCTCATTTTCCTTATCTTTAAAATGATGTAATAATAATATCTACCTCATAAAGTTGTTATGAGAGTTCTTACATGTAAAGTATCCAATAGTGGCCAGAATGTAGGTTACTCAATAAATGTTAATATTTAGCATTATTTCCTTTCCTAATTTCCATGTCTTTTTTATACTCACCTTGTACACTAGCCATACTTTTGAATTCTCTGAGCAACTCCTACTTTTAAATTTGTATGTGCTCATGCAACTTGTTTTATCTCCCTGTAATATTCACTTGGTTATTTCTTAGACATCCTCTCAGTTTTCTTCAGTAATCGTTCTATGACACACCTGATAGTCATTTCTTCTCCTACCCGGCAATCTTATTTAATGGATTGAGAACTAGCTAGCTTAGAAATTGTTTTTATAAACTACAGTTGCTGTTTATTAATTGTCTCAATCTCTGTTACGTGAGATTTGAGATTTTTCATTTTGCTGATGAACTGTCTTAATTATGGATTGTACAAAGAGTTAGAGGCAGTGAATATAGTATCATATCTCTAGAGTAGCCAGTATTCCATCTACCAAACTATATTATTTGTACATCTAGGAGTTCTTTATAACTTCTGTGGGCAGAACTACATACAGTGTGTGGAAGTGAAGAAAAAATATTTCAGGGAAAAAATCTTGTCCAATAATCAGAGCTCTCTGAAATAAGAATATACAGTCATGAAATAGAGTGAATGCTCCTCTTCACATTGATATTTTAACCAATGCTGAAATCCACTTACATTGTTGAGGAGACTTACGGAAAATTGGGGAAATAGGCCGAAAACCTCAGCGGTACTTTGCCCCTCTCAAACTATATGATTCTATGGAGTGAGAACCAATTATAGTTTACTTGCAGCCAGGGTATCAGGGACTCTGAATCCTGGATTCAGCTCTTCATTACTTAACCTAATGATGAATCATTTATTTTATCATTTTGACCATTAGGTTTCCTCCAGTTCTAGAATTGAATTCTGACTTGAAGAGAGCAAAAAGTATTTTTTCTCTTCTCTGGAAACTATTTCTTTACAAAGCAAGAAGAACAACAAAGCAACACACAAACTCTGTCTTCCTTGAACTGGCAGATTTCTATAACTCCAAGTCACAGTAGATATCAACGGAAAGTAGGTAAAAGAAAGGCAAATGACGTAGCAGAGGAGTGGAGACTCAAACTTAGGTACCTACAGAGAAAGATAAATATCAGAGACACTCAGGAATTGGAGATACCAGGGGCCACAGAAGGCAAGGGTAAGGCAGTACACAGGGAGATTACTTAAAATCGGTGTTAAGATGTGTACATCTGTTCCTCATCCACACCTTGCAAGAGCCCACTGGTATGAAATCACTGGGAAAAAAATTAAATCAGAGGCACCCTGGGTACTAGGAAACCATATGCATCTGCAAAGACTATTTCCAAAAAGGCAGCATTTACAGGTACCAAATGGTCACTGAAAAAAAGAGGTTGTAGATTAAGGCCACCACATACAGATTAGGTCCTAAATAAGGGCACATAGATGGAATAGGAGCCCTTGGCTCATCAAGTCAAACATATCCTAGACCATGTCCACCCAAAGAGGTGTGGCTTTTTCTAAAGCATCCACCTGAGTGAGAATGCTTTGTACTATATCATCCATGCAGAATAGATTTTTTTACATACCTCATCCATAAAGGACGAAGGTCACTTTTTAAGAACTGATGGAAAAATTCAATATTCTTTTCATTGTAAAAACAGTCAACAAACTAGGAATAGAAGAGAACTTCCTCAACCTGATAAAGAACATCTACAAAAACTCTACAGCTAACCTCATACTTAATGGTGAAAGATCAGGAACAAGACAAAGATGTCTTCTGTAGCTGCTTTTTACTCACATTGTGCTGGAGGTTCCAGCCAAGGCAATGAGGCAAGATAAATAAGACTCGAAATGAAAAAGTAAAACTATCTCTAGTCACAGATGACATGTTTTTTGTTTTTGTTTTTGTTTTTTTGTTTTAGACAGAGTCTCACTCTGTTCCCCTGGCTTATTTTTTGGTAGAGACGGGGTTCCACCATGTTGGCCAGGCTGGTCTCCAACTCCTGATCTCAGGTGATCCACCCACCTCGTCCTCCCAAAGGGCTAGGATTACGGGCATGAGCCACCAAACCTGGCCAACATAATCTTGTATATAGAAATTTTTAAGAGATCTACTAAAAAACCGTAAGAACTAGTAAACAGCTTCAGCAAGATTGCAGGATACAGGGTCAATATGCAAAAATAAATGTGTTTCTCTACACCTGCAGTGAACAATCCAAAAATGAAATTAAGAAGACAATGTCATTTAAAATTCTCATGGTTAAATTTAACAGAAGAAGTATAAAGTATATACTCAGAAAACTACAAAAAAATTATTGTAAAAAATTGATATGGCTTGGACATTTGTCCCCTCCAAATCTCATGCTGAAATGTGAACTTCATTGTTGGAGATTGGCCTAGTGGGAAGTGTTTGGAGCATGGGTGCAGATTCTTCATGAATGGCTTGGGGCTATCCTTGCAGTAATGAGTTCTCACTGTATTATTTCACTGGAGTGCTGATTGTTTAAAAAAATGAAAAGAACCTGGCATCCCCCTTGCTCCCTCTCGCCATGTGATATGCCTGCTCCCCCTTCACCTTCTATCTCGATTATAAGCTTCCTGAGGCCCTTATCAGAAGCTGGACAGATATTGCTGCCATGCTGTATAGCCTGCGGAACTGAGTCAAATAAACCTCTTTTCTTTATAAATTACCCAGCCTTAGGCCGGGCACAGTGGCTCACGCCTGTAATCCCAGCACTTTGGAGGGCCGAGGCAGGTGGATCACGAGGTCAAGAGATCGAGACCATCCTGGTCAACATGGTGAAACCTCATCTCTACTAAAAATACAAAAAATTAGCTGGGCATGGTGGCGTGTGCCTGTAATCCCAGCTACTCAGGAGGCTGAGGCAGGACAATTGCCTGAACCCAGGAGGCGGAGGTTGCAGTGAGCCGAGATCGCGCCATTGCACTACAGCCTGGAAAACAAGAGCAAAACTCCATCTCAAAAAAAAAAAAAAAATTACCCAGCCTCAGGTACTTCTTTATAGCAATGCAAATGGAATAACACAGAAATTAAAGGACATCTAAATAAATGGGAAAATATCCTATATTCGTGGGTCAGGAGACTTAATATTGTTTAGATGGCTATACTCCCCAAATTGATCTACAGATTCAGTGCAATTCCCATCAGAATCCTAGCTAACTTCTTGGTAGAAATTGACAACCTGATTCTAAAACTCTTAAGCAAAGGATCCAGAATAGCCAAAACAATCTTGAACAAACTAAGAATATCCATACTTCCTGATTTCAAAACTTGGTACAAAGAAACAGTCATCAAGACAGTATAGTATTTAAAAGGCTGGGTGGAGTGGCTCATCCCTGTAATCCTAGCACTTTGGGAGGCTGAGGCAGGTGGATCACTTGAGGCCAGGAGTTCAAGATAACATAGTATGGTATTGGCACAAGGGCAGACATACAGATGATTAGATTCAAGAGTCCAAAAATAAAACCATATGTCTATGGTCAACTGATTTTCAACAAGAATGCCAATACCATTCAATGGGAGGAAAGGATAGTCTTTTCAATAAATGATACTGGGACAACTAGATGGCCACATGCAAAATAAAATA